TTCTTTAAATGTTTGGTAGAATTCCCCTGGGAAGCCATCTGGCCCTGGTCTTTTGTTTGTTTGGAGATTTTTGATGACTGTTTCAATCTCCTTACTGGTAATAGGTCTGTTCAGGTTTTCTATTTCTTCCTGGTTCAGTTGTGGTAGTTTATATGTCTCCAGGAATGCCTCCATTTCTTCCAGATTGTCAAATTTGTTGCCATAGAGTTGTTCATAATATGTTTTTATAATTGTTTGTATTTCTTTGGTGTTGGTTGTGATCTCTCCTCTTTCATTCATGATTTTGCTTAATTGGGTTCTTTCTCTTTTCTTTTTGATAAGTCTGGCCAGGGGTTTATCAATCTTATTAATTCTTTCAAAGAACCAGCTCCTAGTTTCATTGATTTGTTCTATTGCTTTTTGTTTGTTTGTTTGTTTCTATTTCATTGATTTCTGCTCTGATCTTTATGATTTCTCTTCTCCTGCTGGGTTTAGGCTTTCTTTGTTGTTCTTTCTTCATCTCCTTTAGGTGTCAGGTTAGGTTGTGTATTTGAGACCTTTCTTGTTTCTTGAGAAAGTCTTGTACCACTATATATTTTCCTCTCAGGACTGCCTTTTCTGTGTCCCACAGATTTTAAATAGTTGTGTTTTCATTATCATTTGTTTCCATGAATTTTTTCAATATTCCTTAATTTCTTGGTTGACCCATTCATTCTTTAGTCTCCATGTATTTGGGTTCTTTCCAAATTTCCTCTTGTGATTGAGTTCTAGCTTCAGAGCATTGTGGTCTGAAAATATGCAAGGAATGATCCCAGTCTTTTGATACCAGTTGAGACCTGATTTGTGACCCAGGATGTGATATATTCTGGAGAATGTTCCATGTGCACTAGAGAAGAATGTGTATTCTGTTGCTTTGGGATGAAATGTTCTGAATATATCTGTGATGTCCATCTGGTCCAGTGTGTCATTTAAGGCCTTTATTTCCTTGTTGATCTTTTGCTTGGATGATCTGTCCATTTCAGTGAGGGGAGTGTTAAAGTCCCCTACTATTACTGTATTATTGTCGATGTGTTTATTTGATTTTGTTATTAATTGGTTTATCTAGTTGGCTGCTCCCATGTTAGGGACATAGATATTTAAAATTGTTAGATCTTCTTGTTGTACAGACCCTTTGAGCATGATATGGTGTCCTCCCTCATCTCTTATTATGGTCTTTGGCTTAAAGTCTAATTGATCTGATATAAGGATTGCCACCCCAGCCTTCTTCTGATGTCCATTAGCATGGTAAATTGTTTTCCACCCCCTCACTTTAAATCTGGAGGTGTCTTCGGGTCTAAAATGAGTTTCTTATAGGCAGCATATTGATGGGTTTTGTTTTTTTAACCATTCTGATACCCTGTGTCTTTTGATTGAGGCATTTAGCCCATTAACATTCAGGATAACTATTGAGAGATATTAGTTTAGTGCCATTGTATTGCCTGTAAGGTGACTGTTACTGTATCCAATATACACATCTTAAAATCAGTGGAATTTGATAAATACAAAATTGAAGTGTTCATGCTTCCAATCCTTTTTTGATACTTTCCCCTTTACCTGAAATGCCCTTTTTGTTCATCTTTCTACTCCAGGTCAGAGGCCAACGCATCTCTGATCTTCATGTCTTTTCCATCACAACTAATCTTTTCCTCCCCTGAATTCTCAGAGTACCTTCTCAAGACCTACTGCAGAGCACTTAGCATCTCCTTTGATGTATTATAGTTACTTATGTGTGTTCTTAATTCTCCCAGCAGAGTATCTGGAGTCTACACTCCTTAAAGTGCAATTGCATGTTTTATTCAACTCTTATATCCCACTTAGGATACTACTTTGCCCATTCAAGTATTTAGGAAATGGAGGAAGGTCTGATGATATGTATGTAATGTGGCAGGGAGAAGTTTAGCCTGTCTGACTGCATGTTGCTTCTATTTCCCTGGGATCCCTATAGCTGGGATCTATAGGTTAGGAACTTCTGTTTAACACTGCATGTAGGCATGTTAATCATTGAGGGAATTTTGCTTACAGCTAAGACCTGCAAAACCGCTTTTTACGTGAGACCTACCTTACCAAAGGAGATAAGAAAAGGAGCTAAGGGTGGACACCAACTCAATTCCTTCGAGACTGAAAAATGACCATGACTTAGGGGGAACTTAAACCATGCCCCCTATAGTTAATGAGGTTGAAACTCACAGGAAATTTAAGGCTTGTTTTTCAGAGAACTGTTTCTACCTAATCAGTTAGTATGTCTTTTTGTACCCCACTAACAAATCTACTAGGTGTCTCTGCAGAAGCCTGGATTTAAGGTCAACTAATATGGTTTCAGCCTATGGGCAAGCAAGGCTCTGCACTCCTCACCTGAAACAATGAGCCCAAAACCCCATCCAGTTTATACCAGCTCTTGGAGCATGCCCATAGCCTCTTCTCCTTGTCCTAAAATAAACTCTTGACATCAGGAGCTGAATTTTGACTCTTTCTGATACTAAGTCTTCACCCCAAAGTAAACATTGGATGTATATTACATATATCTATGCTCAAAGCACATGCTTCAGCTTTCCTCAGAAGTTTCTTATTCCTATTAAGTTTCCCCATTCCTATCATCAACATGTATGGAATCACATCCCCTATGATTATAAAAAATTTTTCTATCCTCCTTCAGGGAGGAAGATTTGGGTCTTGCCCTCCTGTCTCCTCCTTTGGCTGCCTCTCAAATAAGCCCTTTCCTTGCTGCAAACCTGATGTCTCAGTGATTAACTTTGCTGTGCATCAGGTAGACAGACTGGGGTTCAGTTATAATAATGTCACACAGATCCCCATAGAGTGATTTAATATGCTTCAGACCTGGAATATGGCACATGCTATTTAATAGTAAACTTCCAGCTGGGTCAATATATAGCATGAATGAGAGATGCCAAGAACCATTCTCACCAACACATGCAGTGGTCTGGGAGCAACGCCACAAAGGTGTCAAGACTCAGTGCCATTCCCAAAGATCCCACAGGCTAAAGCATGGGTAATTGCACACATTTTTTGTGCAAAAGAGATTACTGCTGCTTCTTCCCCAAAGCCCCCAAAATAAAAGTAAAGGAAGTAACATTAATAAGCCTGAAATACTAAAGAGCCTGATAAAGGAAATGACAGTAAGTAGTGTTAACAAATTTTGGAGGCTGGTAAGCAGATGGGCAGGAAATTTTCAGGAATGAGAAACAAAGCCTGCCTTGTAGGTGGGGTATGGCACAGGGTTAACAATAGAAGGCCTTATTGAAATTCTGCATCAAAAGTAGAGGCCCAGGTCTCCTCCTTCCAGCAGGTAGGTTTATTTCTGGAGAGGCTGAGCAGGAAGAGCTCTGTACTCCAGGCAAATCTATCTTGAAATATAATTAAAATAGAGGAAAAAAGTGGAACTCTGCACTGTGAACAATGGGACCCCTAGCTTCTTTCATTCAGCTCTGAGAATACAGGCTTGTATGCCTCCAGAAGGAGATCAGTAAATTCCTCTTTGGGGAAAATAATCACCCTCTTAAATATAATTCTGGTATTAGCTATTTTTAAAATATATTATTTTTACCATTATATATGTGTATGTATACACATACATATGGATGCTGTTAAGATCCAATTTGAAATTTGAAAATGCATGTATATCTCCCACCAAATGCTAAGTTCCTCGAAAGATAGATCTGTACCCTATACATATTTCCAGGACATAATGTCAATCTTTGCGTGTAGTAAGTGCTCAGTAAATATTTGTTAAATTTAAAAGGAAAAGTTTTTTTTAAGAGGGGGCAGGGTGAGGTGTAGAGGATGAAGGAGAGAGAATCTTAATCAGGCTCCACGCCAAGCACAGAGCCCAACAGCTCAGTCTCACAACCCTGAGTTCACGACCTGAGCAAAAATCAAGAGTCAGACACTGAATGGACTGAACCACCCAGGTGCCCCTAAACAGAAAAGTTCTGAGAATACAATATTTACTGCTATGTATTCAGACATGGAGTTTGATTCTAAACAACCCAAAGCTGTTCAGCAAAACTTCCTGCCTGCAATTAAAAGCCAAAACCAAAAAGTGGCCATGAGTGTTTACTGAGTTCACGGGGAACATATAATACAAATTTCTTCTCTCAGCTCCCTCCAGAATAGTGATCTGAGGCCCACTGTGTATGTCTGATGAGACTGTAGTATTAATCTTCATAATCTTTAATGGTTGGTGCCTACACAATCCAAAAAAAATCTATCATATTCACTGCGACCTGTTTAGCAATATTATAACCACCTAATAAAAACATTCATAAATGAAGTTTTAAATGTGTGTCTCCTATACTTCAATTGAAAAAAAAAATGAAATGTAAAAAAAAATTGAGGGCACCTGGGTGGCTCAGTTGGTCAAGCATCTGACTTCAGCTCAGGTCATGATCTCAGGGTCCTGCAATCCAGTCCCATGTTGCTCCCCACTCAGTGAAGAGTCTCTTGTCTCTCTCCCTCTGCCCCTCTCCCTGCTTGCACTCTCTTTCTCTCTCTCTCTCTCTCAAATAAACAGATAAAATCTTTTAAAAAAAAAATAAAAAATAAATTAATTAAAAATGTGTTAAAGTTCTTGAAATTTTTCTGATACTTTATTTTCCTCAGATAGAGTTCGACCAATTACATTAGATGTTATTACTGTAAAACAGGTAGACATGATAACTTAGTACTAAAAAGTATAGAAAATTTTTCACAAGTTAAAACATTGGAAAACACACTAGTTTACTTCCATAATTTTATGACATTTCCTGACAAAAAAAGATGGCTCAGACTCGATTAATTTTATGCTGTCAGTTCTCAGAAGACATCTGTGGTTTTCATCGTTATCCATTAATATTAGTGGTTGATAAGCATCACTAAGTGATGTTAAGGTTTTATCAAGTAGTTGGAGCCTTGGGAGTTGTCCACAATGCTTTGCCCATACTAAGAGTTGGCAACAGTTCACTAACCAGAGGGACTGGTGCCTTTTGCAAGACTGAAATCATGGCAGTTCCAGAAGCTGATGCCCAATTCCATTTCACTGCTATCAAAAAATATTTCTACTCTTATACTCTCACAAGTAGAATGAATTGTGTACTGGCCACAAAAGGAGGCATTGCTTTGATAGTCTTATACTTCAAGTTAAGGTCTAAAAAAACACCACTTGTGAGAGCAACATAAACAGATTTTAACCTGTACCTCATCTGTTAAGTTCCCATGCCTGGAGAAGCTAATGTCAACCCATCATGTGATACTCAATTTGTACAATAAATTATGAACCTGGAACAAAAAAAAAAAAAAAAGAGATGGCAACAGTTCAACAATGGGGTGCCAAATCGCTGACCTCTTTTTTTAAGCAGAGGTATAATAGAGAGTGACAATAAAGGGAAAAGGCAGAAGCCAAGAATCTTTTTTTCCTATAGATGAGATCAGGTTCACTTAGGGAATCAACGCTTACATTATGATGCAGGGCTGGAAAATAACAGTTTCAAAACAAAGGATATGTCCAGGTGGGCAACTGTAGCTGATTCTCACAATAGACTTGCCAGTTTGGTATTTTCACTGCCACCTGATGCCCAGAGAGCCTAGGAGCCCAGACTCCTGGTGACTTCCTTGGGAACCCTATTTCCTCACCCTCAGCAGCCTGTGTTGCTGAGACCCAGCTGAGGCTCGCTTCTCTCTGAGCAGTCACATACAAACATCCTCTCTGAACCCTGCCTCCTTCTCCTGTCTCTCCGTGAAGGACTCCATTTCTCTAGCAACTCACCAGGTAAAGGCTACTCATTGTTCCATATCCCTCAGAGGTGACAATGGTATAGGAGACTCCCCACTCGTAACAGCTCTTCTAGACCATTACTCCTCCACCCTCACAGAAAAGTACACACCACTGAGTACACTACCCTTGGCTTTCCAAGACCCTGTCATCTATCTGCCTCCAAGCCAGACCCATCAGAGAAGACTTTAGTGAGGATCACGATATCCCACTCTAACTGCTGAAGAATGATGCCAAAGAGAAAGTGGGTGTCACCTTGGGTACACTGGGAACCACCTGCATCTTGGTGTGCAATCAGCTTTGGCACATGTGCCCATTTCCTAATGACTGAGCTAGACAATATAGACAACTATCTAGAATGAATTATATTTCACTAATATAAATTATAGATATTCAAGTTTCTAATAGCCAGCAATATTTGGAAAAGTTAGATGGACTTTTTTCAATAGTATCAGTAACCTTGCTGTCATAAAGATATGTACCATGGAATATCACCCAGCCATCAGAAAGGATGAATACCCAACTTTTTTATCAACATGAATGGGAGTGGAGGAGATTATGCTGAGTGAAATAAGTCAAGCAGAGAGCGTCAATTATCATATGGTTTCACTTACTTGTGAAACACAAGGAATGACATGGAGGACATTAGGAGAAGGAAAGGAAAAGTGAAATAGTATGGTAAATCAGAGGAGGAGATAAAGCATGAGACACCGGGGATTCTGAGAAACAAACTGAGGGTTTGGGGAGGGGAGGGGTTGGGGAGAAAGGGTGAGCCTGGTGGTGGGTATTAAGGAGGGTGCAAATTGCATGGAGCACTGGGTGTGGTGCATAAACAATGAATCTTGGAACACTGAAAAAAAAATAAAATTGAATTAAGATGTTAAAAAAAAAAAAAGATATTCCTAAAATCAAACTATCATCTGCCGTCTGATATATTGCCATTTTAGGACCCAGGGAGGTGGATGAGCAGAGATGATAAGAGAATGACTAGTTGAAAGCAGCCAGGCAGCAGCAAGAGACAATGAGGAAACTTCAAAGACACACCCACAAAAGCAGAAATTCCTCCCTCCCCTCATTCTCTATGTGGCCTTCACCACCCCGAGGTAGTATCAGTTACTAATACCCTAAAATATCATCCTTTCCTGGCCACTGTTTCTAGTCAGGTTCTATGAAAATATCTATTTCTGCTTTTCATAAACATCCTAATGACCCTATTCCTTATAAATCTGCAAGTTCTAATCTTCAGTTCTTAGCTCAAAAATTTCAAAATAATTCCCTACTTGAAAAGGTCAAATCAAATGCATTGTATGGTCTTCTGATGGGGGAAAGAATAACGTACTTATATGCTCACAGACAAGCATTTACGTGGCATTGTTGGTTGCCTACACCACAGCAATCCTCTCCGGCCTCCGTCTCAACATACATTCATCTTTTCCCCAGAAAGATCATGTGACTCAGCAGAAATTGACTGTATTCCATCTCTAGGGGTGGATTCTGGTTGGTCTAATCTGATTATGGTAACCTAATCCCCCTCATCAGTGATTGGTCAGGAATCTAGTCTTAAACCAATCAGCATGTGGCAGTGCTCCATAATTGCTATTGTCCCAGAGATGAACACAGGATTTAAATTGATCCAAGCAATTCCATGACTGAAGTAAGTTTTCTCCCTCTCTGACCAGCTATGAACCAGGAGGCATGTGACCCAGATGCTTTGAGATCCCTTCAGTCACCATGAGGAAAGCTATCTGTGAAGACCAGCCAACACATGTAGGAGGCAGAACTAAAAAAAAAAATTTTTAATTAAAAAAAAAAAAAAATCACACAAATCTGACCCAGAGCCCTGATCATATTGTGCCTGGAGACACCCTACCCCCAAACTTCTTGCTATTAAGGTAATAAATATTCTCATAAATTTAGCTAGCTTGAATTAAGTTTTCCCTCACTTACAATTAAAAAGATCCTGATTGGTACTGTGTGTATGCTGTAGATGTTTTACAAATAAAGATAGTCACACATTTTAAGGAAATATCTGAAGGTTACCTACCAAATAGAGCAACGGTTAACTTCTAGTGAATGGCACTGGGGTGAAGGTACTGGGGCTGATACTGGCAATGGGGGAGTTTTGTTTTACATTTTATATTGCTGCTCTTTATTCTCATAGTCAGTAAGTATAGTACTTAACAAAAACATTTCTTAGGAAAGTAGGGTGAGGAGATTGATTAGTAAACCTTTCAAGAACACTTCCGTACTCTAATATCAGGACTTTCTTCTTTATTACTATTCTAAGTGGCTTAAAACTACCAATTATAAAAGAAAAAGCTATCACAGACAAGGTTTATTGTGCCTGCCCAGTCCAAGCATCTGTTCACTGAAAAATATCCCAACTAAATGTCTCTTTGTCCCTTCCCTTCTCCTCCACCTTCTTCTTACCCACTCTTACACACCTACACACACATACACACATACACACATGACCCCCAAAAGCTGTACTTTTACTATAGATCCTACTCTCCTGGCCACAGCCTCTTAGCCTGGTGATTATAACATGACCCAGAGATGCTTCCTATCCTCAGATGAAATTTTCTCTTGTACCATTGGTCAGAAAAAGAACTACTTAAATTTCAGCAGCAAGAATTTAGATTAGACATAAAGCAGAACTTCCTGGTCTAGTTGCTATGAGATCATAAGAACCTTCATAATCACAATATGCAGCTTACTTCCAGGCTTTTTACCTATTATTTATTTCTCTTTAGTTTTGAATAACACAAGCCACCCTAATTTTGCTTGAATCCTTCTTATAAACTTTCTTCTTGCTTAAAGAATTAGAAATGTGTTCCTGATAATAGCAACTAAGAGTCTTAACTCAGACAACTAGAAAACTGAAGTTTAAGTGTTTACTTAATACCTATATAGCTGATACTCGGGTTTTCTAAATCTCCAGAGAGAGGCATAGCCAGCGGAAAGCATACATAGAAGCATCTGTTTACCATGGCTGGGATGGTTGGCTTGCAGCTTCTGCCTACACAGAGCCCTTCAATACAAGGGTGATGAAATAATAGCCAGCCCAAAGAAGACAGGGTGAGGCTTACTGAAACTAAAGGTTGTGCCAGGTAAGGCTTTTAGAAATAACTAAAAAGAAGAAGTATGCTTAACTTTAGGTACATTTTATGCCCCACCTCATTTCAACAAGGACTTGAAGGAAGGCTACAAAAATACTTCGCATATCATGATGGTTAATTTTATGTGTCAACTTGGCTGGGGCATAGTGCACAGCTATTTCATCAAATGTTATTCTAGATGATTCTGTGAAGGTGTTTTTAATGAGATTAATATTTAAATCAGCAGACTAGAAGTAAAGTACATTACCCTCCATAATGTGGATGGGCCTCATCCAATCAGTTGAAGGCCTTAAAAAAAAAAAAAAAGAAGAAGAAGAAGAAGAAGGAGGAGGAAAGAAAGAAAAAGACTGACCTGGGTGGACCTAAAGGGTATTAAGAAATACGTGAAATAATTCAGACAGAGAAGGACAAATACCATATGATTTCACTTATTGATAGAATCTAAAAAACAAAACAAATGAATTAACACAAAAAGCAGCATCTCATGAATACAGAGAACAAACTGGCAGTTGCCAGAGTGGTGGGAGAATGGGTGAAGGGGAGTAGGAGATATAGGCCTCCAGTTACGGAATGAGTAAGTCATGAGAATAATAGGTACAGCATAAAGAATATAGTCAATAATATTATAATACCTTTGTATGGTGACAGATGGTCGCCTCACTGGGGTGAGCCTAGCATAACATACAGAATTACTGAATGACAATATTGTATATCTGAAGTTAAGGTAACACTGTGTGTCAACTATACTCAAATTTAAAAATTAATAATTAAATTAAATTAAAAAGACTGACCTCCCCAAAGAGGAGGGAATTCTGCCAAAAGATAGCTTTCAGATTTGAACTGTGGCATCATCTCCTCCCCCGGGTCTCCAGCCTGTGAGCCCACCCTGAAGATTCTGGACCTGTCAGGCTCCACAATTACCTGAGCCAATTCCAAGAAGGAGAGAGAGACAGAGGCAGAGAGAGAAGAAAAAAAAATGGATGTTTGAATTACTTACTTATCACATGAATGCTTTCTTGGATGGTTTTTCATACATACAGTTGTTTAATGTGGTATAGATACAGTCCAAACTTTTATATTAGCTCTAGGCCTGGCCACAGGGCAGGGACAATCTTTTACATTAGTACTAAATACAGCATTACGAACTTTATTAAACCTGTTTTAGGATTATAGAATCTTTACAAACATAAAGGACTTCTTTTTTGGGGAATTCATTTCCAATATAAACTTTTCCATTCCAACAAGCTATTATCTTTTCAATCCTGAAGTTGTATTTAAAATATATATAA